GTCCCTCTCCTTTCGCGTCTACACTGTCCGGACGAATCCTGCTCTCCCTTAGCTGCTGCTACAGGTTACCGAGCTTCGCCCTCCTCCTCTCCGTACTCGAACTGTTTTTTTGAAGAAAAATTGGCCAGATTTTTCCTATAACAGTCGAGTTGATAGAAGATATCCCTGCTGTCTTCGCGGTTTCACTATACTCGCCGTCTCCCGGAAGGATAACGAAATGGTCCATGAATCTTCAGACAAAGGGGGGGAATATCTTCCGTGGACCCAACGTTCCTCGTGAACACCCTAAGTCTCTGTCCCGGCATTTGCCCTCAGTCTCGTGGGAAAACCACGGATCAAAAACCACGAGAGGGACAGTCTTCAACGTGATGAACCAAATGACCAATCTTCTGAAGATGAGACGGTCTTCTCAATTGAAAGGAGCCAGTTGCCCTCGAGTAATGGTCGCAGGAACTTCCTCAGAGAATTCTCTCGTAACGAAAACTCAGGCAAGCCTCTTCTTAAAAATTTCCAACTAGAAAAGAAAACATTCCTTACGCAGAATAAATTCACCAATTAAAAAAAATGCACTTACAAATATACACACAAACACAACTCTCCAATTTCTAGCAATCTTTATTTGAGTTTTGTACTATTTCTAATTAACAATCAATATTTCTATCTAAAAATGGAGCTAATCTATCTGCATGCACTACTTTCTTCCGATGTCTGGGTGTCTTCTGAATGCAGTACACCACATCGTTGAATTTCTTTACAATAGAGAAAGGTCCTTCTAACACTACAATCAATGAGATCAACAAAATTGGACGTCGGGGCGTTTTCTGTAAGAATTGAATTTTCCCCGAAAAATTCAACTACCTCTAGTTTTCCTTCGCCTCAGGACATTGAAAACGCAAATGTCCGATCTTCCCGCAAGACCAACATTCTTTCCCTTTGGCCGAAAAGTTGTTCGCTTGCGCTTTCCCTTTTGAGTCAAACCGTTCGCTTTTCTTTTTTTCGGAATCGGTTCGCGCGTCGCTCCTCTCTCCCTTTTGATGATTTTGACTTATTTTGCCGTAATTTCCTTTGTTACTAAAATTGTCTCTTTTTCTATCAAAACTATCCCCCTGAATTATTTTTATAGCCTTAGCTCTTTCTATAGCCAAATTTAAGGATGTAATTCCCTCCAGTTGAAGGGTTCTTTTGACAAACCCGTCTATTAATGCCGAGACAAATTGCGCGCATGCTATTTTATCGCGGACCGCATATGGACATTCGGGGTAAGCCAGACGCGACAGTCTCTCAAGTTCGGCTCCAAAGGAAGCGAAATCCTCTCCATATTTTTGTTTCCGTGTCGTAAAAAGATAGTAATAATTTTGCGTCAAGTTTCCGTCTTCAAAAAGCAACTCTAATTTTGATTTTAATTCCGCGAATGTTAATTCTTCAAAATTCTCGACATTTTCTAAAACGGACCGAGCTTTTCCCCTTAAATTTGCAGCGAGAGTAATCATTTTTGCTTTCTCATCCCAATTATTCGCAACGGCTATCAAAAGAAATTGGGAGAGGAACTCCCGCAGCGGAACCCTTCCATCGAATGTATCGGGCTTCAGTTTTAAGTCCGTTTTCGCACGAAAGTCACCGGTCGTCTCGCCCGCGTTTATCACGGCACTCGCGGCTATCGCGGCACTCGCGGTACTCGCGCAAGCTAAATTCAGTCGTGTATCCCCAGAAGCTCTTATATTAGAAGGACTTAGCTGGTTAGTTTGCTGCGAGGAGATCCTCAATTCGAGCTGGTGCAGCTGTTCGTCCTTCTCTCGGAGAAGAGCCTCAAAGCGAGCTTGTTGATGTTCTCGTTCGGCCCGCATTTCTCGTAGTTCTCGCAGTGCAGTCTGCAACGCATCAGTCTCGTCTATCTCCTTCATCGTTGTTCGGGAACGCGTCGCTTTCGGTGAATGTTGAGTTGTCATTTTGGCGTTCACTCAGGAAGATGCGATTCTTTGGTTTTATCCCGGACGAGCCCCCAAAATGTTGCGTCCTCGGGACGCCTCTCGCTCAGTCACTCACACACAGTCACTCTCACTCGCGCGCGAAATAAAGACACTCGCATAATAGGGAAATGAACTTTAATATGAGGAACCAATACACGAAACCAATGAAATATAACAAATAGTGCATTCGTAATGCAAAGAAGCTCCGGTCTCGGAAAACGTCCGCACGATGCGACCGCTAGACCAAAACTGTCATGTCTCCCGAAAACAGAAGAAGACCCTTAGTTGTTTAACAACAACTCCCTTGACGACGATCTCCCGGAAGCGTAAAGAGTTGATCCCGCGAAAAGTATCACCCGATACAAAGATGTAGATCCAGGGGCGTAACACGGGGGCGCAACAGTAATTACAATGTAACTAAGCTGGAAAGCAGTAGTTTGTTAATATTACCTATACATTCGACATTAAAAAGGAAAAAAGGTGTCACTCTACAAAGTTTGATTAATGTAGAATTTTCTAAATGGGAAACGATAAACGGCAATTGTAACGAATGTAAGGGCACCGTGTTGAAAAAGAAAACCGTAATCGAATCAACTTTATCCGTCGTAGTAATACAGCTCAATTTATATACTTTTGTAAACGGTGCTTCTAAAAAAATTATCAACAATCGGATTACCGCTGTGCCGACGAGTAATATCACGATTAATGAAAAAAGTACAAGCTAATAAGCGCTATATTTCACGAAGATGAAAAAATGAATCGTGGTCACTACACGTGTATGTTGAGAGCTGACACAAAATCGGAATGGTATTACTCTAATGATATGGAAGTGTTCAAGAAAAAATGGCCCAAAGGAGCACAAGGAGCATACATATTGTTCTTAGAACAGATTAAATAATGGCGCTGTATAAAGACTGCCGTAAACGCTACATTAAAACATCAACTGTTCTAGCGCTGTATAAAAGTTGCCGTAAGCGCCAAAATAAAATATCGGCTGCTCTGGCGCTTTATAAAAGCTGCTGTAAGCGCTGCATTAAAACGAGTGCAATAAGTTTCTAATTTGACCTAGGCTTCATGACATTTCAAGAAGTATCATCAAGAAAAAAATTATCAGACAGAAATATGTATGTCGTGTTAAAATCGGAGAGACGAAGAAAAATATATGGTTGCGTTCTCACGAGAATGGGCGATGGAGGGGCCCATTCCTTATTTTCAATATTTATACAAGAATATAAATTCATTCTGTTGCAATTGAAATAAATGTGCAATGTATCGTTAAAAGTTATTACAATTATACAAACATTTACATATATGATTAAATAAAATATTATATGTATACTATAATATAATTATATATTTTATATATGTACATATATACCATATATTTCAATTATTTTGAACTGTATTGCATAAATTGTTACTTATACAAAGTTATGTGATAAGAATCGAAAATACATATATTTGTGATACTTGAATTACTAGAAAGCTGCTCTATATATCTGTACTTTAAAAAGTAAGTGATATCCTAAAAAAATCATAAAAATGAAAAGGTCAGGCCATGTTCAAAAGAAGGTACTCAAAAATTTAAACGATCTAATAATAAATTATCACGAAAAGTAACTGATATGTTATTCAAGGTGCCAGTTCAAAGTGAACATACGTAAAGTGTATATTATCTAAATTTAGTAATAATATATTATCATGAAAAGTAACTGTAATATTTTATTCAAGGTGCAAGTTCACATTGAATATACATACATATAAGTAAAACTGATTACAATTTGATTCTAGAAAATAAGTGCGATATGTTATTCTTAGTGCACAAAATATAATAGTCGTTTATAGAGATTTGATTTGAAATTCATACTAGCCCGTACAATGAAAAATAATTGCTCGTAATTCCAGAGTACTAATTTGTTAATGACTCAGAAAAATAACATGGCGGCCTGCTCTCAAAAAACTTTCGATGGGTAGAATAAATAATTAAAATAAGAGTTGTGAAAATTGTATAAATTAAAAACCTCCAATCTTTCTTTAGTAAAATTTCGAATTTTCGTATCAACTTCCGATTTGTGTTATACCGTATTTTCAGGGAGTAAGTTATTGATCAGAAAACTTTGCCTTGTTGCTCGAAACGGGTGTATATTAAGTAAAATTTATAAATGTACAGTTCTCAGGTCAACTACAATAAAGCTATACGCTTAAAAAGTTTACTGATTATTTGTCGTAATATACAATAAAAAATTACATATTAATTATTCAAGATACAAGTGAGAAATAAATATCATTAAAATATACAAAAAAAATTTATCAATTTGACTCTGAAAAGTAAGTGACATGGTTCTCAAAGTGCAAGGTTTCATTTGACTTACAATTTTCTTCAGAAACACAGAAGAAAAAGGTATTTGTATATAGTTTTGTATATTCACTTCGATGTGTGTGTAGAGCTTTTAAAAATACGTTGAATCCTTATTCTAATCTAATCTTCTTCTAATGTAATACTTTTCGTATTTCAAATGTTGTAGTAATTATTCTGTAAGAGCTTCGACATTATTTCTAAATGGACATCGAGAAACATCATAGTGTTTTGAGAGCAGGCCGCCATGTTATTTTTTTGAGTCATTAACAATCTAGTACTCTGGAATTACGAGCAATTATTTTTCATTGTACGGGCTAGTATGAATTTCAAATCAAATCTCTATAAACGACTATTATATTTTGTGCACTAAGAATAACATATCGCACTTATTTTCTAGAATCAAATTGTAATCAGTTTTACTTATATGTATGTATATTCAATGTGAACTTGCACCTTGAATAAAATATTACAGTTACTTTTCATGATAATATATTATTACTAAATTTAGATAATATACACTTTACGTATGTTCACTTTGAACTGGCACCTTGAATAACATATCAGTTACTTTTCGTGATAATTTATTATTAGATCGTTTAAATTTTTGAGTACCTTCTTTTGAACATGGCCTGACCTTTTCATTTTTATGATTTTTTTAGGATATATATTTACAGAAAGGATCATGGAGAATCGTCCCAAACGGAATATCATCAAACCTCGACGATTTCAAACGACATCTTCGGACGAGGCGGAAGAGTCAGGAAGAAAGACGATGGAGCTACAGGGCACTCAATTAGAAAAGGATGTTGCTGAGTTACGGGGAGTATTAGAAGAGAGTCATTCGCCCAATACTAATATGCATGCTAATCATTCACTCACTAACTCACAATCATTTACAGAGTCACTCACACAACACAAACACCTTTTATGCATGAAAACACAGTCATCATCCTACGCACAACCATCAACAATCACTCACACAACACAAGCATCTTTTATGCATGAAAACACACAGTCATCATCCTACGCACAACCATCAACAGTCACTCACACAACACAAGCACCTTTTATGCATGAAAACACACAGTCATCATCCTACGCACAACCATTAGCAGTCACTCACACAACACAAGCACCTTTTATACATGAAAACACACAGTCATCATCCTACGCACAACCATTAGCAGTCACTCACACAACACAAGCACCTTTTATACATGAAAACACACAGTCATCATCCTACGCACAACCATTAGCAGTCACTCACACAACACAAGCACCTTTTATACATGAAAACACACAGTCATCATCCTACGCACAACCATCAACAGTCACTCACACAACACAAGCACCTTTTATGCATGAAAACACACAGTCGTCATCCTACGCACAACCATCAGCAGTCACTCACACAACACAAGCACCTTTTATACATGAAAACACACATTCATCATCCTACGCACAACCATCAACAGTCACTCACACAACACAAGCACCTTTTATGCATAAAAACACACAGTCATCATCCTACGCACAACAAAATTTTCATGATACAACGCAAACATTCACACACAAACCACATGCTGCTGCTACTCATACACAACACATTGGTAGCCAATTAAATACACCGCATAACACTCAGTTACAGCCTTTAAACATCTGGCCAACTTCATCGTCAAGTTATCTGCCAAGCTCTTCTCAAGCTTCAAGAGAATTTTACAATTTTCATGTGAGACCGGAAATTCAGTGAGTGTACATTGAACAGAAATTTTTATAATTGGAATATATGTATGCTATAGTCATATATAGAAATATAATAATATATTTACAGAGCCATACATGGAAGAATGGATCAATTAGCTTTGGAAGTTCAGTAAGTTTTAAATGTAATATGTACATAAACAATGTCAGTCATTTTATATCCTAATATATAATATTATTATATTATTTATATGATATGCTTTTTATACAGACAAATACACCAAAAATTGGACAGAGTGTTGACGCAGATTAGCAATAACCGAAGGCATATGCCGGAGAAACCAGCATTTTTGCCATTATCATTAGTTGAAGATGTTGAAATATTTGAAACTGCTAATGATGAAGAATATATGAAATTGGTATGTAAAATACAGTTTTATCATTTATATATATGTTAGGGTGTTTGTTTTGACAATTTATAAAATTCTTCTGGGACCCTTTTCAATTTTTTAGTCGATAAAAAGAGAAAAATTTTTATTCTTTGTAAAACATAATACGATGAGTCTAAGGGTTCCCACATAGACTTTACAAATTTCCATTTAAAATACATGAAGTTTTTTCATTAAGTTTTCTGTTGTATTTAAACAAGATCAATATTTTGTATTCTTGTAATTAAAACCTTACTATAAAATTGTATAAAACGTAACTGTATAAGACTTAATAAGCAATTCTAATTTGTTATAGTCTTTCAATTTAGATAAAATGTAAAAGTTCTTAGTTTTTCAATATTTTATTTATTTAAAGTTCTCAATAGGTTTCATGTAATTAAGTTTTACATTTACAAGAATGAAAAATATTGATCTCGTTTACATACAACAGAAAACTTAATGAAAAAACAATGTATTTTTAATAGGAATTTAAAGTTAACGTGGGAACCCTTAAACTAGATTACTAGATGTAAATAAAAATATAAATGCAAAATATTCTTTATAGGTGAATTATTTAATTTTTATTGGTGGTCTTAATGCCAAAGAAAGTGTTAATTTGTGCTTCAAAGAGATATTTCAAGATTCTTTGATGAACTTATACACTTGGTTCGGGCGTGAGGATAATCAACGACCATTATACAATACCCGTTTGGTGAACGCTATTTATGGTATATTGTTACACATTAAGCTAAAGTTGTGTTATCAATGGTACTATTTTATATTTGTTTTTTTTTACAGATGCTATCTGCGAAAACAAAAATTTTGAAAGACCAATGCGGGCTGCATTTCAAACATATATGCGGGATGCTCTGCGAACGGCCAAGCAACGACACAGGAATAGAGCGCGCAACAACTTGCATCGTCCGGAAGGAAGAAATAGAAATGAACGAGCACTATGGAACGACGAACACGACGAAATACAACCAGAAGAAAATTAGGTCAGTTATATGAAATTGTTTATAATTAATTCTTTATAATTAATCTTTTTCATTCCTCAATATTAAAAACTGGTCGACTGTTGTAGATTTACAGGAAAAATGTATGATGAAGAAAGAAGATCAAAATTCCAATTCTTGAGCATATACAGTGTTGTGTTATATGATTTTAAAATTAGCTAGATTAAAATGAAAATAATTTTGTTTTAAATATATATAGATAAAAGATAAAATTATATGGCAATTCATCTAGATAACTTTCAGATAATATTATTTTTAAAAGTACTTATATAAACACAGTTTAAAAAAATGTAAATTATGTGAGAGGGATATAAAAAATATATTTATTTTAATTTGAACGTTTTTAATGCTCAAGTTTTGCTGAAGTTTTCCTATTTAAGTATTTTTATGTCTTATGACTCTGAACGAAATTATCTGAATATTCTACATAATTTAATAAAGAGATAACACTTTTTATCTAAGATGCAGATATAGATAATACATATTTTTATTATCTATAAAGATAAGATGACGCCAAAATTTTATCTAAATCATCTATATAATTTTATTTAGATAATGGCAAAGACTAAGCATATACGAACATCTTTCATACAAACAATGATTCGTATTTGAATGAATATTGTTTTAGTATACAAAAATTGTTCGTGTATGCTCAAGAATTGGAACGAAGAAGAAAATGGAAGCGGGAGAAGATGGAGTGACCCTACAGACGAAGACAAAGAACAAAAAGAGGGCAAAAACGAAACAATACGCACTTTTTAGCGCGAACTGGCACTTTTCATTGGCTAAACAGCATTGAAAAGTGCCACATTTTTAATCACTTACAACAGTGGAATTTATCTCGATTTGCACTAAATCGGCACTTTTCAGTGCCAGATGGAATTCACTTCGATTCACATTAAATCGGCATTTTTTAATGTCACTGTAGGCCTATTCTATAAGGCCTATTTTTTTAACGAAAATGTCGCTATCGTGTTGCGTATTATTGCGGATGTCAAAATACATGTATTTACAATAGGCACTTTTTCATAAACACGTAATTCGAAAGTATTTGATTGACTAATCAGGATTAAAGAATCTTTGTCCTTATTGGTCTATGGAGATGAAAGTATTTGTAATAACTATATTAGATATCTATATTATCTATATTATCTATTCTGTAATATTTAATAACTTATTTATTTATTAAAAATTTATTTATTAAAAAATTGCTTAAGTATTATCCCTCTATTTAGAAAGATTAATATATAGTATTAATTAAATTTGATATAATCAAATATATAAGCAAATTTGTAAGCAAGAACAGAGCAAAGGTTTTAACAGTGCGGATTGTAATTAATAATAAAATAATGAGCTCATTAAAAGGATTTTAATAGCATTAATTAAATTTTATATAAATAAATAAATATAAAAATAATTAAAATTCTATATATTTTTTATTAATATTAATAATAATAAAATATAAAGAAAATTTAATTATTTTTATCTATTTATATAAAATTTAATATACTATTAATTAAAATCTTTTTAATGAGCTCATTAATTCATTAAATTATTATATTAATTACAATCCGCACTGTTACGACAACCTTTGCTTTGTTCTTGCTATAATTTGCTATTAAAGTCATGCACAGCAAGGTTTGCTTTGTTATTTGCGTAAATTTTGCGTCTCATCGTGTCAGAGCAAACTTTGCCCTGTTCTTGCCACAAATTTGCTATCACATCGTGCACGGCAAGGTTTGCTTTGTTATTTGCGTGAATTTTGCGTCTTATAGTGCCAGATCAAACCTTGCCCTATTCTTGCCACAAATTTGCTATCATGACGCGCACGGCAAAGCTTGCTCTGTTATTTACGTGAATTTTGCGTCACGCTGTTGTGACAAACCTTGCCAGCAAAAGCTCAGCTTAATGCGGACACACCTTGTTGCAATTTTGCTACAAAGGCCTGCTCGAGTTTGCCGCAATCTTTGTGCAAAGTTTGTATCATTTTGCTAGCTGGGGAAATACAACACAAAGTATCCTTATTCAAATTAATATTCAAAGTTGGAATAGGATTGTTTTATAAAACTTATCTGAAGAAAATTCTGCTTTTTGATTCCTTCTTTTCTCTAATTTAATTTTGATAATTTTCTCTTATATATATAATGTGGACATACTGCATAATAAATCTTCTATTTCATATGGTACAATTTATCTTCTAATGTAATTTGTTTTGTTTTATATAATGAACACGTGAATATATTTCATTTACATAAATATTTTCATTTCATTAAGATTCTGAAATTAAATAAAAAAGTATTAAAAAAATATGATTCAGAATATTTGCGATAATAATATTACATGTACCTCTCATATAAAATAATAAAAAAATTAGAAAAAAAATTTTAACAGCATGGGGTTTTGAACCTGAGTTCTCATGGTTACTAGCCCCGCACTTATCCACTCCGCCATACAGCCCCAATCGAAAACATAAATTTTGTCATATATTTTTTAAACAGTAAGTAGGTTAGAACAGGTGAGCCAATTGTTGAGTTTGATTCACCCTAGACATAGTCGTACGTATGTCGTACTATTTCACTTTTAAAAGGTGGCGGGCATTACATTTTGATTCAAATTCACTTTGTTTACTACGATTGAGGTAGCAACGCATAGATATGTCTCGTAAGTATAATTTATTATTAATTTTGTATAATAATTATAATTAATCACTTTTTTATCTTGCCGTACATCTTTTTTAAATAGAATTATGTAAAATTATTATATTTTTTTTAGAAAAATCAGATGATCTATTAATGGAGACGGACGAAGAGCCGATGCTGCTCATTCTCCGGCAAATGCTGGAGGAGCAGCGACATATGCGGCAAGAGCTGCAGGCGATCCAACGCCAGCAGAGGAGCATTGCTCCACAGCGGCAGCTGCAGCCACAGCAACAGCAACCGCAGCAGCAACAGCAACCGCAACAACAACCGCAGCAGCAACCGCAACAGCAACCGCAGCAGCAACCGCAACAGCGACCGCAGCAGCAATCGCAACAGCAACCGCAGCAACAGCCGCAGTCGCAGCCGCAGTCGCAGCCGCAATCGCAGCCGCAGCCGCAGCCGCAGCCGCAGTCGCAGCCGCAGCCGCAGTCGCAGTCGCAGCCGCAGCTGTACAATGAAAGTACGTGTTGTCTATAATTTTTTTTCTAAACACACACGTATACATGTAATATATACAATTTTACTATTTCAGATTTATTCAGATATAGACGAGGAGCCGGGCGAGCGAGGGCCCGATGGTATCGGCAACGAGGGGGCCATTTTCATGGCCGTGGTCGCGGACAGAACGGCCGCGGTAGTCACGGTGGCCGCGGTGGTCGCGGTGGCCGCCATACAATAATTAAAAATTATTATTTGAATTAATATTATTATTATAATTATTACATTATTATTATTATTACTATTATATTATTACTATTATTATTACTATTATTATTACTATTATTATTATTACTATTATTATTACCATTACTACTATTACTATTACTATTATTACTATTACTACTAATACTACTATTATTATTAATATTACTTTATATATTTACATTAATATTATAAATATAAAAAAATATACATTTATTTAATGCATTTTATTTAATAATCTTTGCAAAAATATGTGAAATCCCACAAAAAAAGACATCACAGATGTAAAAAAAAAGCGCTAAGTTATATCTTTCGCCAGCAAAAATAGTTCTTTATAATAATAAAAAATATTATCTTCTCAAAAATTATGTTTATAGGAAAAATAATTCTTTGCAAAAATTAATCACCATCAAAAATATTTTCTCAAAAATTATATTTATAAATTATATTTTATTTTTGTTAATAATACTAGAAAATAATTAAAATATTAGCATCAAAAAGTAGTGAAATCAAAAAATTGCGCTAAATAATTATATTAATAATACGAGAAAAAAGGTTAAAATATTAGCATCAAAAAGTAGTGAAATCAAAAAGTTGCACTAAGTAAATGACAACATAATATATAATATTTAGATAAATTTCCTATAATGATACAAATGTATAATTATTGCTTTATTTTAAAACGTTTATAATATATATATGAACAAAATAAATTCAGTAAAATATTAAGAGACGCGGTAGTGTCTCCGGCCATGTTCAAACCCTAAAAGACCTTAAAAGACACTACAAGTCTCCTTATCCTGCACTATCAAAGTCCATTTTTTGGGGGTGTAGAACTACTAAAATATAAAAAATTTTGAATTGCACGTAATATAATCTGAAAAGCGGCATCGCCACGAGTAATTTGAGCCAAGAAAAAATAAAATCGGTCAAGCCGTTCTGGAGATACAAGCGGTCAAAAAGTGACGTTTTTCATGAAAAATGAAGTAACGTCGTCTTCTTCTTCTTCTTCTTCTCTGTCCGCGTCCGCTGACGTCATCAGGATTATATATATATATATATATCCTAAAAAAATCATAAAAATGAAAAGGTCAGGCCATGTTCAAAAGAAGGTACTCAAAAATTTAAACGATCTAATAATAAATTATCACGAAAAGTAACTGATATGTTATTCAAGTTGCCAGTTCAAAGTGAACATACGTAAAATGTATATTATCTAAATTTAGTAATAATATATTACCATGAAAAGTAACTGTGATATTTTATTCAAGGTGCAAGTTCACATTGAATATACATACATATAAGTAAAACTGATTACAATTTGATTCTAGAAAATAAGTGCGATATGTTATTCTTAGTGCACAAAATATAATAGTCGTTTATAGAGATTTGATTTGAAATTCATACTAGCCCGTACAATGAAAAATAATTGCTCGTAATTCCAGAGTACCAATTTGTTAATGACTCAGAAAAATAACATGGCGGCCTGCTCTCAAAAAACTATGATGTTTCTCGATGTCCATTTAGAAATAATGTCGAAGCTCTTACAGAATAATTACTACAACATTTGAAATACGAAAA